AGGTGCCTGTCCTTAGTGTCTTTCTTACTGAAAAACCTACACCAAACATTAACTTTGCAAAAGAGGGGCAAAAAAAATGTTTATATATTTACATATGATATTGCTGAGGCCTCTGAATCTATACCTTGGACAACAAAGAGACAGTAGGAGAGAGAACTTATCAGAATGTAGGCAGGAAAGTAACTTTTAGCACAATTATATCGACTCACTTCATACTCAGAGTTGGTCCTATGATCAATTAGCTCAACTTGAGAACCTTGGAACATGTGGTCTACCCCTCCATAGCTGTTAAGATTTAAAGTCATGATCACAGCACTTGAAAAGAACAATTTCCATTCATTTGGCTAATCTGAAATCTTAAAATAGACCCCATAAAAATCATTCCAGAAAAATGAGTATCTATTTTTAAGTGCTTCAGGAAAAAAAAAATAGCCCATCTCCCCCAGTTTATCAGCCCTGACCAAAAGAAAAATACTTCCTAATTTTAAAACGGGCATTTAATTCTGTTATTTAATCATATACTTTATGCTGGATCTTAGAGAAAATGTGAATTCACTTCTAACTCTAGAAATTTTCTTTCTCTTCTTCCTTGTCTTTCTGTAAGGCACAATAGGTCCAATGCTTGCAAATCATCTCACATCATTCTTAAAATGCAGCTACCTGCCGATAATACCTTGAAGACACAATAGAAAATCATTAATTTCATTTTATTTCAAATATTTTAGCTTCTTTGCAGATAACTAATGATCTAACATTTTCTAATATTGGGGACCACATTTTTCTGACTACTTCTACATTTGACCATTTGACTTAACCTTTTCAGCATCATCATTATATTTCTACCTTGAATTCTTATTTGAAAATTACTTCTCTTAACTCTGAAACATTCTCCCATATTATCAGCTTAGTATTAGAAATTTATCAAGTTCCCAAAGTTTTCATTCTCCATATAAATCTATAGTCATTCAACAATCCAACATTATATGTCTATTGAGAATTGTGATTTCTTATTACATTATACAATGGATGCAACTTTAAAATGAGCAGCTTTTTTTTATTTTGTACACATTAAGAATGTGCAGTGTGATGACTCGTTTATTGCATTTGTTTCAGAGTAAGAATTCCAGATAATAAATAAAGCATATAACCAAACTATAAGAAAGTAATGAGTGCTGAATGGGTGAGCCAGAATGCAGTAAATAAACAGGGCAAATTCTAATGTGAGTGAAACCAAAGAAGGTTGATTGGAAAACAGGAAGCAAGGGAGAAAGTAAGGAAGGTGGTTAGAAATGAATGGATTCTGTTAAAAACAATTTAGAAGAAGCAGAAAGTCGAGTGGATGAAAGATAGAAGTTATGCATTAACTCTTGTGTCAAATGATGTTTTCTAAGACCAGAACAAAATCTGTGATTGGCAGTTTCATTCTGGATTTTCAAAGACATTATTCAGTAATATTTTCTGGGTAATTGAATATGGTATGTGAAAAAAGGAGTCCTGGTTCTTCTGAATTATTTTTAACTTCAATAACTGAAAACGGAATTTTCACTGAGATAAAAAGCACTATAGGTAGGAGCAGTTCAGGGAGGTCAGGAGATCAATTTCCAACAGGCTTAATTGGGAAAGTCCATGAGATTTTCAAATGGAAATAACACGTTTCCATTTCAAGAGACAAGTTTGAGCATCAGACTAAATATAGTCAAAGAGGGCAGAAAAAGAACGTAAATATATTCTCTGGGGTATTCTAATTTAACATTCTGGACCCAAGTCAGAGAGAAGGATTTTGACCCAGTATTTCAGGATCTGTTTATAAATCAAGATGTAAGAGCCAGGTATGTTGGTGCATTCCTATCATTCCAGCACTTGGGAGGCTGAGGAAGGAGAATTTCTGGGATTCCAGCAAACCCTGTCTTAAAGTCTGATGTAGACTGAGAACTCATCACTAAATTTATGAAGATGCCAGAGTAGTTGCTGCTGGTGGGAGAAATTTCTACAAAATGGGAGGTAAAGGTGGTTTGTTGATTAGAGTAGATTAAGAGAAAAAATGAAAAGAGAAATTTACAACCTTCCAAACTGTTCATATTAATTAACCCCTATTTATTTTGCATTTTTATCAGTTATTACACTGGTTTCTGTTGTTGTTGTTGTGTGTTTGTTTGTTTCTGTTTTTTGGTACCAGCACTCAAACTCACAACCTCACACTTGCCAGGCAGGTGCTTATGCCACTGAGCTAAATCACCAGCCCTAGTCATCTCACTTTTAATTAACACCATATATAAACATTAAAGCATTTTATTTTTATTGATGGTTTAAAATCTATTTTATTAGCAACATTTTTATTACTGGGGACTACTGTCAAATCATTCCTCACAAGAAAGGATTTTTCTCAATCCTATTCCTATTTGTGAATAGGAAATTTGTGAATATTTTTATATTTTTAAATCTAAATGTCATGTTACAAAATTTATAGTAACATATACTTATTTCCCTTTAACTCAGTAAAATCATTCAGTTCTTATAACAACCAAATGTACCACATTTAAAAATAAGCACAACACACTAACTTGTCTTGGTTTATAAATAGCATTACTGTTACACTTCAAAAGTATTTGAGTATTTAAGGACTCAAATTGGATAAAACAAACCATACTACTTTAAGAAGCCTCAAAATACATGTATATTTCAATATAAGTTGTTCAACATAGTGTTCTCTCATCAATGCAATATTTAACACTATTTTAATATGCACGAATTGACCATTTTTGCCATTATATCCCAATTAGTTAGACTATATCCTAAAGAACAAAGGAATAAACTCAGCCATTCAGAGTTTTCAATTCTAAGAATAAATCACTTCCACAATATTATCTTGCCCCAGACTACAGATTAAATTTGCTAGTAACTTAAATAATAAAATTCAGTTCAAATATTCAGAGACATGTCCACATTTATTATTTCAACTGTTTAATTTTCCTCAGGGTGCATGTATTAATTAATTAATGTTCCGCCCTTCTTATGTGATGACTTGCTTAAAAATGGTAGAATTATTAATAAAGAACATTTCCTTTGCTTTAGCATATTTAGGGCAAAGACCAAATGTTTGAGATAGTTCAGCTTCTTTTAGTTTATGACAATTCTAAAAGAGCAGGAAATGTATGGCAGATACATCATGAAAGATAAAAAATGAACCTGAGTAAGAAAGAACAAAATGAACATAAACCAAAAAGAATTTTTAGAAGCCCACTTTCTTTTAAAATACCTGAAGAAATATAATCAAATAATAATGATTAATAAGAGTAAGTTGATGCAGGCCGTGAGGGGATGTATCTGTAATCCAAACCAGTACTCTGGGTAGCAAGAGCAAATTTTCAAGTTCAAGAGTTGTCTGTGATTTAGTGAGACCCTGTTTCAAAATTAATAATAATAAAGGGATAGAAAGTTAACTCAGTTCAAAAGCCCTAGGTTCAAGCCCCAGGCCACCAAAAAAATAATAAAAAATAAGCTGGGTGGAATCAGAATTTCAAAATCAATATAAATGATACAAAGCCATCCACTACAAGGAAAACTTCTGTTTTAATACAAAAATAATTATTGTAGCTAAGGGAATTATATACCTTATTTTCAAAAGTGTACTGGTAAAAGTTGGAGTTGTAGAGAACATTCATTATTGATTAACATTGAACTGTTGATATTTGTATATTATCTTATGCACTGAAATAATCACCATTTGAAAAACTTTAGGTTCTGTGATTTTGGTTACTCTTCCATCTTTTGTCCAGTTAACTGTATAACAATTCTCCATACAGATGTATATATCAAGTATTTAGGCATAGTAAGCAAAGAAAATGTGATAAAAGTAACACATTATTATATCAATGATGCTATAAAATAAGACAAAACATATGTTTTATAGAATAAAGGAACTGTGGAGGCAAAAAGGTCTATAATTTTAAAAATTTGTAATGTAACTCTAGATTACGAATCCATTAACATAAATCAAGGACTTCTTCTTACCAGATGAAGGGAACTAACCCTTTGCTGGAGCAAAAATTAAGTGCTTTTGCTTTGAAACCCTAAGGAAAAGAACAGTAAGGAAAAAGAAAAAGTTGATATCTTATTTCTGAAGTTTCTTTCCATTCACAAAGCTTTCACAGGTAATTCTCTAGTTGGCCAGTGTCACACAGACTTTATACCAAAGCTAGATAAACGAAGTGAAAAACTGATTCCTTCTGTGGAGAGCGTAAGCAGTGTGCAATATGCCAAAATCACATGGCTCAGATTTCTACAAACTAGCTCAGTTTTGGTGATTTTAGATATGTAAGCTTCAATGATTTTCTATGTCACCTTTACTCTATAATGTAAAAAGAAGATTCTATGATGCATAACTAGCAAGATCATTATACTATTTCTTTGCAACCCCCAAATTCAAACAGGCTTTTCCTTCAATATCAGTGTAGCAGCAGATGTAATCACTCTCCACAAATGTGTGGAGAACAAAATGCTCTGGCATGACATCTGAACCTACCTTTCATTTCATATGTAATCACCCATCATTTCTCATCAGCTCTGCTTGTCTAGACCAACAATATCTCCCTTCTAGACTATCTTATTAGTGTTCAAATATATTCCCCTTTGTTGACATTTTCACCTTGTAGTTCATATATTACATGATATCTAGATTGTCACTTAAAATGGAAATAAACTTAAAATGTCACCAATGATTCCAATCAACAGATTTTTCCTTCTTCTTTTTCTTTCTTTTTTCTCCCTCCCTCCCTCTTTTCCTTCCTTCCTTCTGTCTTTCCTTTCTTTTTCTTTCAATTTTATTTCCTACCTTTCTAGATGCAGTTTCTTAAGACTTCTTTAAACTGCAGTTGTCATTTAGACTAGCTTCACATTTACAAAAATGTGAAAATATAGTAAACAGTTCCTACATTATTTTTATCCAGTTCCTATATTTACTGATATTTTTCATTTTTATTTTTTTATAATGCCTGAACCAGTAATGCCAGACTACTGTTAAAGAGCACGGCAGAAGGACCAGACACAGGAGAACTGCTCACGTCATGGTGGCCAGGAAGCAGAGGTAGGGCTGATCTGGGGAGAGGGCTGTGAAACACATTATGAGCTGGCCTCCTCACACCAGGCCCCACCCTCAAACAGCATATTCCTGGTTGAACTCACAGAAGGATGAATCCAATGACCAGCATGGCGTGCCCATGATATAACCAACTTCCAAAAGCTCTCTGACTCTGAATGCCTGAGAGTTTATTTAGAGAGCCTACAATCTTGAACTCAAATCATTTAACTGGTCCACAGGTTAAAAGCATTAGGGACACCTGCATTAACTAAAATTACATGTTTTACTTACATTGCAATTTAACTTTAACATAAAAAGATAGAAGTGACCTGAAGGTGTAGTTTAATGCAAAAGACCTAGGTTCAGTATACAGGACTAGAAAAAAAAAAAAAAAAATAGATGTAAGTTTGTAAAGCAAATCTCATTGCTTCAGATATTTGGGCACCTCAGAGTAGACCAAACACATGATTTCCATCAATGTTATTTGCTACATTTATTGTAAAAAAAATTAGAATAATTTTCTCTTTATCATCCATGTATCCTTACCTACCTTCCTCCAGTCTTTCTCTATCCCTTCTCTTGACCTAAGTTGAACATCTACGGTTCAGAATATTTTACATTATATAGAATTCATGTTTATGAAGTAGATTTTTTAATGGGAATGTCAGATGAAAACATCATTAGAAAATAATAAAATATTAAAAATTTAAAATATCCTTATGAAATTTGAATATACATACACAAACAGATGGTTGTAAGGATTCATTAGCTCACTCTTGAGCTCTTTAGGTTTCTGCCTGATGTTTGGGTAGTAAAATAAATCAGTTTTGGATCTCAATAAAATTATATATGGCTAAATTTCATAGATCTTTGAGATTAATGTAAAATCCTTAAACTTGGTCTTAGAAGGCCACATGTACAATGCCTACAATTACTTTGTTTCTATCAATTTAATAATAATAATAAATTTATTCACTCTTCAAACCATCACTTAAATATTAAAATCTTTGACTACATTTTTATGCATGAATAATTATTCCCTTTAAGCAATAAATATTATTCTCAAATACTTCTTTTAAAAAGCTGTGTTTGAGATGTAGGCTTGGAGGATCTTATAATATCCAAAATTATAGAGCACTAAAAATATCTAATTATAAAAACATTTTTCTGACATCTTAGACCTTTAATAAGGAATATCATCTTTTCTAATTTAACTTATGTGTAAAAGCATCAACATCTCAAACATGAAAACAGGACTACATTTCATAAAGGTTACATTTATTTTCACATCAGGAGAAGAATTAAATCAATAGTCATATTTGAAAGAACAGAAGTTGGATAGTATATTCCACTGGGTGAAGAAAAAGAAGATACCACAGGTAAAAGTAGATGTTAACACACTAATGATCATTTTTTAATAACAGAAGGACCTTTCGGTGCAAAAATACCAATATATTTTTTTCATTGCTGTCTTCTCTTTGAGCTAACCTTTGAATGAGAGAAACTTCTGCTGATGTCAAATGACCACAAGGATATTAACAACTGGACTTGGAGCCTGCCGGCCACTGTTGGGTACATCTCCTTTACCAAACCAGCTTTCTTCACTGCTGCCACTGACCTTGCAAACAGCTCCGACAAAGGTCGGAATGGATTCATTGATCAGCTAGACCAAGCATATGACAGTCTGTGCCTTAATTGAATCCCAAAAGGGGGCAGACTGGGTTTTTATTACAGAGGCCAGCCGATAGCACTCATTAAAAGCTCCACAGACTGTGTGGTTTACTAATTAGTTTATTATACAGACACCTTGACGATGGGCAAAGTTGTCATTTTGCCCTTTATCGCACAGGGGATGTTGTTAAAAGTTTAATCAGCTAACACTGACCAAGTTAGCTTGGCAGGCTGTGGATGGTCATTACTGAGGTCACTCCTGCTGTAGAAATTCTGACAGGGTCACAGCATGAACTTACAATAAAGAGAGTGTTACATAAGGTAAGAACTCACCTGAAAGGGACCCAGAAAAGAGATGTGCTCTGTGGGGAGTACGAAACAGATGGGCTGTTAGGACAAGTGAATCCTTTTAAAGTTTATCTTTGCCTGCCCTGTTTAACATATGCTTTCTTAAAAGATGGGGCTTACAACAACCACTTTGATGTGTTCATCAAAAATAGGATCAGTAGTAGGTTTGTTTTTATGTGTACATTTTGAGTTTTTGGTCAAAAGTACATCTTATAAAAATTACTCTGCCATGATATATTTAAATTTTATGTAGCTTCAAATGAACATTCTGTTGTAGGTTATTATTATTATTACTCAAAATACCACATAGATTACTGGTCAGTCTTCTAAGAAAACTCTTTATATTACCGACTGTTTTCCCATTTTTTTCTGATGGATTTTTTTTAATTTCCTAATGAATTGCTTTCAAAGAAAATGTATATTCTCTAAGAAAATTTTTTTCATTCATCTGTACAAGATTATGAAGTAATATATAAGTGAATTTGCCTAATGCAACTGTTAAAGATTCAGTAGTGACATGTAACATTATATTGAATTAAAAATTATTGATCAATTTAAAATACAGGAAAGACATAAATTGGTAAAATGTTTACATGTTTATTTTTTAACCAACAGAATAATCTCATTCTGTACTCTTAATAGAATTGGTCATATGGTCAATCTTATTTATTTGTTAAGCCAGTTCCAAATAACATCTTTTATACATGATTTTTCTGAATTTACATAAGATAGAATTTTACTTTGTAACATATCTGATTAGGTATTTCAATAACAGATTTTAACTACACACATGGATTATTGACAAGTTTAGAAAGACATGTTACAATTTTTCTGTGCATTGTCCTTGAATATTTAAGTTTCTAGAGATCTCCATAAACCTGAAATTTAGACCCTGTTCATTCAATGTATCAGTTGTTTTGATCCTTTGAAATTGATGCTTTTACTAGTATATAATCTTATGTTATTTTCAGCACTAATTATCATATCTGAAATATGAAGGCTTTGTGATAGTAAATCCATGTGGGTTAAATAAGACAAGAATGTGTTCAAAGTACACATTTATTTTTGATACAATAAACTTTTTAGTTTGACCATGTTATGAAAAATAATACACAACACTGAAAGGTATCTGTCCTGGAGATTAAAATATAATTTAATAGATGTGTGGTTACACTGAAGGTTTTATGAAAAGAGAAACATTCTGTATTATATTGAAATAACAGAAGAAATTATAGGAAGCATTATGTGTTATCCAAACTATAACTGATCCATGAATGTAGGTCTAGCATTGAGCTAACTGTAGGCTTTATATAAAAGAAGCCTCTTTGAGAATTCACACTTAGTAGTTCCAAGGAAGCTTCCCTTGAAGACAGATCATTCATCCAGCCCACACAAGCAAATATTTTGCTAACTCTCTATGGAAAGAAACATAAACTTCCTTAACAGAAAATCAAGAGTAATATAACTGTATGTATCCCCCAGGCCATGAAATAAGGTATAAAAAATTTTAGTAAGTTATCTGAAACCTTATATTTTCAAGAACATCATGTTACTTCACATATTTCTAATACTTTGTTATTGATAACATTGGTACATTTAAAAATTAAATGTGAAACCTTTGTTACATTACAAAATACCACCTAAAGTATAAGATTATGTACTGTAAATTTATATATAGAGAGACATAGATAGATAGTAGATAGATATAGATATATATTACTCTGTATATATAACTATAAGTGAAAGATTTTATATTACATAAAATGAAGACAAAAATTATAGCTCCAAGAAGTTGTTACAAGAGGTTTTAAAAATACAACTAATATTACAATGAATGAAAAGACTAGAGAAAGAATATAAGCTAAAGATGGAAAGAACATATGTAAAGAAAGCACTAGCAGAAATATGTAAAGAAGGTGCTTAATGGTTGTTCTAAAAAGAGAAAACAAGACAATGAATTATTTGAAGTAATAATAAATGTCAAAGGAACAACAATAAGACATACTACAAAAAAAGATTACTCAGAAGGAGCAGTGAAAAAATTTTTCTACCCAAAGTTTTAAAACTTGTTGTGATATTGAAACATATTTTGGACAGCAAAATGTTTTGAGGTTCCAGATCCATTCTAGTTGTGTTGATGTAATATAGTATATTTCTCTTAATGTCTAATGTTTTCCTCCCACATAAATGCAAGCAATATAAGAGCAGAAAAATTTCTCTTGTTCATTTTTGTTCCTTGTTTACTTAAAACTTTATGCTATAAAACATACTATTAATATTTTAACAGCAAATGAAAGACAAAAGATAATATGGGAGAAAATACACCAGAGAATTCTTTGCCTATTTAGAATATCAGTTTAATGAAAGCAGAATAAAGACATCATGGTTTATGTCAGTGGCCTCCAAACCTCATATATTATAGAGTAGACCAAATCTAGCATTTGTGATTGTTTTTTTTTTTTTTTTTTTTTTTTTTTTTGTCTAGCATTTAGATTGGCAGTTTGAATGTTTCACCTGCCCAGGAATGAAGACAGGATATGATATATTGGTAGAAAAAAGATATGTCTCTTTCTCTCTTGCCAGTGCATGCCTTGCTATTTGCAGCTGCCATCAAGGGCTTCCCTGCCATGCCATGCTGCCTTGGAGCCAACTGAGTATAGACTAAAACCTCCAAAAATTGTAAGAAGTAAACCTTCCCTAACTTTTGGTGTCAGATATTTTGTCTCAGCAATGAGTAAAAGATAACTAAGACAGAATTTGGTACCAGGAGTGGGGCCATTGCTGTGACTATATCTGACCATTTGGTTCAAGCGCCTTTAAAAATGGCTTGTAGAAAGAGTTTAGAAAGGCTTGGAGAAGTCACCTAAAAGAATGGCATTAGCACAGCATAGGCTGTTTTGTAAGGGAGATTCTGGTCAAAATTCAAAAGATTAAAAGACTGATAAAAAGCCTGCTATTAAAGATCAGGCTTGGGAGGCTTCTGCTGAGAAGGACCACATTGTTTGTTGGACTCCAGTCTATGTGTGTTATGGTTTGGCAGAAAGATTTTGCCTGAGACTAAGATTAAGGGCAGAACACTGATTAATCTGGCAAAAAAAAAAAAAAAATTCAAAGCAGTTGAATATAGAGTCAGTGGCTTGGCTATTGTTGGAGGTTTTAAACAGATTAGTGTTGCAAATCAACAGCAAAGAGCCCAACAAGATAATTTAAAATGCTGTGAGTTTGGAAAAACAAAACAAAACAAAACAAAAACCTTCCAGTAAAGCTATACAATTTTAAGATAGAGCTGAGACTTTAATTATAGAAAACAATAACAACAACAACAACAAAAAGATGGCCAGGGGGCATCCCAGAAAACAGCAGGGTCTTTTTCAGCCTCAAAACTGCAAAAGTAAAAGGCTTTGCTCAGAAAAAAAAAAAAAAGCTACAGAGCACCATGCTCCAAAATGGTAGCAGAGGCCACATGGGATTCCAAAATGGTTATGAATACATGAGGTCCCAAAATGGTGGCAACCATACCAGATTCCAAAATATTGACAGCATAAAAAAACTGGCCTTCACAATCAGGTTCACAGAGCCCAACAATACAGGCACTTAACCCCTACAGCTAACTGGCAGCAAACCTCCACAGCATCCACATAGTGCTGATTTTAAATACAAAAAATGCACAACTTCTGAGGGTAAAATGGCTTCCACCCCAATTGCAAAAGGCCTGGGAGGCCAAGAACTGTGCCTCTGAGAGGGCAGTATACAAAGATATGAGGGGAAAAAAAGTGGAGTCCCAAAAGTTTAAAAAAGCCAAAAATGTGAATCATCCAAATAAAGGTACAAAACCTGTGCAAAGAGGGCTTAAGAGAAAAGCTGCAAGAGCTAAAATCCTTAAAAAATGCCATAGGAGTAAAATCACCCAAGCCTTTTAGAGCTTAAAGCCAGATTGCTTCAAAGGCTGAGTGTTAAACTCCAAGACTTAATGTTTTCCTTGCTGGATTTTAGACTTGCTTTATTTCCAGTGCTTTATATTGCCCTGTTTATAACTTTTAAAATGTCAATGTTTATCTTGTGCCTTTACATTCTAAAAATGTTTAACCTTGTTTCATTTATACAGGAGGTTACAGTTAAGAGTTTGCCATAAATCTAAAAAAAAAATTGAGACTTAAAATTTTCAGCAATGAAAAACCTATTAAGACTTTGGCAACTCTTAGAGATAAACTAAATATCTTTTGTATAAAGACACAAGTCTTTAGGGGCCAGGGATAAAATGCCATGTGTGTGTCAGTGGTCCCTAAGCTTCATTAATTATGGGCTAGACTAAATGTAGCATTTGTGATTGTTTCATTGTCTGGCGCTTACATTGATGGTGTGAGTGTTGCACCTGCCCAGGGATTGAGCCAGGCATGACATATTGGCAAAAAATGGTGTCTATCACTCTCTTGCTGGTGTGTGCTTTGCTGTTTTAGCTGCCATAAAGGGCTGCACCACCATGCCACGCTGGCTTAGAATCAACTAAATATAGACTAAAAACCTCCAAAAACTATAAAAAGTAAAGCTTTTTTTCCCTAACTTTTGGTGTCAGATATTTTGTCTCAGCAACAAATAAAAAATAACTAAGACAAATGGTATGTTAAATAAATTTGGAATTTTACTCTTATTGTCATTGTCAGACAATTTCTACCAAGAAAACTGTAACAGAAGCAACAAAAAAAGTTAGGTAATTTGAAAATACTTAGGTAGATCTAATTCATATATTTTTTAAAGAAATATTGCACTTGGTTTATAAAAACAAGGTATAAAATAAATGATAGCATTGATACACATCTAAAAGAAATTAACAGGAGGTCCAAATGTCTTCTTTCATTCAGGAAAATTTAAAAACTTTTTTCACCCAAGAGCAGAAATGTAGAGTGTGCAAGTCAGTAGGAGGGTGATGGCAGACAGAAAATCATAATCACTTATGTAAAAAAAAATAAAAGCAGAAGAGAGATTAAAAGAAACACTCAAAATATAAATCACACAAAAATATTAGAAATAAACATACATATACTAGCTGACATTCTGCAAAAATACATTAAAAGGATCACTTAAAAGTTCAAGAACAAATAATAAAAATGACAAAGAAAGGAGATCCAAGCCTTGAATTCATGATAGCAAAAACAATTGGAACTAGCTGAAATATATAGGAATTCAGAGGACAAGGGAAACCAAAGGCCCATTGCAATCAAGAAAATACTCAGTTAAGAAATG